TTATCAGTAAAATGTGAACATTGATAAATAAATCAAGTTGTTTTTTGCCTTAAAATCTTTCTACAATTTACAACATAGATGAGTTCAGGGACAACAGTGCTACCTGCTCTGTAGTATTGTCAGGCTTATCCTACAGAGCCACTTCTTCCTTCCCCAGTAACTTCAAGGTATAAAAAGCTGCTCATTCCTTTGACTCCCAACTGGAGTATTCTAGGAAGGCATTTTATGTCATCTTCATAAAGGAATTTACATTTGCTAAAATGTACAGCATTTTCTATAGAAGGGACATGGTAATCTTAGAATAATATTTGATTACTTTTAAAAACATGAAGTACTTAAGCAAAAAAACTTGAGACGATATACAGTAGAAAGCATTTTCAAATATAAAAGTATACACTATGCCCCCTCAGGAAACTAATGATACTAAATGGGTTTGGAATTCCCTAGTTTAGGTTGTATGTAATCCTAAATGAGTACTATAATATCTTCCTTTATCCATCCATGAAAAAGTCTACTAAAATATTATGCCACATCAACAAAAAAGCTAAAAAGCTAGAGATTTTTAGATGAGATAATTTTATTTACAGAAAGATCACAGATTAACAAAATTTTGTGAACTCAATTTTAAGAATGGTTTAATATATATATCACTTGTTATATAATACCTAATTAAAATAGTTTCATGCTACCTTTATCCATTAGTTTCTATATTTCAATTTTTATCAAGTCTAGAAATAAGGCATGGAATAGATTTACTAAATACTTTCAAACTATGCTTCCTTCTCCATCAGGTACTGTCAATTTCAAAACCATGTACAAATTAAATGGCTTTCCATTATAATTCATAAATTTAGAGGATGCAAATGGAACTCAAAATGCATAAAAGAAAACTGTCATAAATTTTAAAAACTACAGTAGCAATATCATAAATTAAAAAATCATTGAAAGAATATTGCAGAAGGTACATTAAAAGTTTTATAATAATTAAGTGTAGAATATGTTTTATTTGGATTATTGTCCATCCAGCTGAAAACACCAAAGCACTGACTGAATGTGTGAGGACCATTGTTAAATGAGTAATAGATGGCAGCATGTATCATTGTAAGGATAAGAAGAGGGACCATGTGCTTTGATTTGCAAATAATGTTCTTTATCCAAGTAATCCTCAGTGTTTCCATTGTCCTTGAATTGCAAGATTCTTAAGGACTGTTGTGAAGAAAAGACCACGCTTTACTGGTGAAAGGCTTCCAATCTTATTCGGGTTGGATCTTCTGGATGTCTCAAGGCAATTCCATTACGCAGGAGCAGTTCAATATAAGGTGGCCAAAAAGAATCACTAATTTTGACATATGGATCATGTGGATCATCAAATAATCTATTTACAAGAATCTCTAACATTTCATGCAGTGTTATCATCTGTACAGTTGATTCTTGAGTGTTTTTCTTTTTCTTTTTAACATTTCTATCAGGCAGAGGAAAATGGTCTTCTAGAAATTCACCCAAGGTTATCAAAAGTTTCTCCTTATATTCTTTTATATCACACATTTTAGATTTCAGCTCTTTAAAGATTCTGGATTCAGAAAATGTCACAACCTGATGTTTCAATTCATTGTGCAGTACATTAAGAGATTCCAATATCTGTTGTTGTTCATCCAACCACTGCTGCTCCCTTTCTAAGTCTTCCTTTAACTTTTCATTCTTTGACTGAATAGTAGATAGCACCAATTCAAGATCATGTCTCAATTTTTGGAACTTTTCTTTTCCTAATGTTACCAGAACTTCTTTATTCAGTGGAATTATTTCAGGAGTTTCTTTCTGCCATTGGGTGAGTTCAGCAGTCAAACATTTCACTTGCATAATTAATAGTGACAGCTGAGCATTTGAATTAGTTGGCATCTCAGTTCCAACAAGTGATAATTTATTCTGACATTCTTCCATATCTTTCCACATTTCTTCACATTTTTTAATAAGTTCTTTTTCCACATCTGTAACATCTTCCACATCTGTAATACTATCTGGATCTAGATCTTGCTGATTCACTGACATGTGCCTTGTGATTTTCGTGGTCTTATAAGAAAACACCGCAGCACCAGCGACTCAGTTCACCTTGGCCTTGGGAATTGTTTAATCCCACCATCATATTTAAATCATAGTTGTGCTGGATACAGTATCCTTGGTTCAAGGCCCTTCTGTTTCATTGCATTAAGTATATCATGCCATTCTCTTCTGGCCTGTAGGGTTTCTGTTGAGAAGTCTGATGATAGCCTGATGGGTTCTCCTTTATAGGTGACCTTTTTCTCTCTAGCTGCCTTTAAAACTCTTTCCTCGTCCTTGATCTTTGCCATTTTAATTATTATGTGTCTTGGTGTAGTCCTCCTTGTATCCTTCCTGTTGGGGGTTCTGTGTATTTCCGTGGTCTGTTCGATTATTTCCTCCCACAGTTTGCAGAAGTTTTCAGCAATTATTTCTTCAAATATACTTTCTTTACCTTTTCCTCTCTCTTCTTCTTCTGGTACCCCCATAATACGGATATTGTTCCTTTTGAATTGGTCACACAGTTATCTTAATATTGTTTCATTCCTGGAGATCCTTTTATCTCTCTCTATGTCAGCTTCTATACATTCCTGTTCTCTGGTTTCAATTCCATCAATGGCCTCTTGCATCTTATCCATTCTGCTTATAAATCCTTCCAGAGTGTGTTTCACTTCTGTAATCTCTTTCATGGCATCTGTGATCTCCCTCTGGGATTCATCCCATTTCTCTTGCATATTTCTCTGCATCTCTGTCAGCATGTTTATGATTTTTATTTTGAATTCTTTTTCAGGACGACTGGTTAGGTCTGTCTCCTTCTCTGGTGTTGCCTCTGTGATCTTGGTTTGCCTGTAATTTTGCCTTTTCATGGTGTTAGGAGTAGTTGACAGCTGGAAGAACTTCCCTTCTTGTTGGTTTGTGGCCTTCCTCTCCTGGGAGAATAGCGACCTCTAGTGGCTTGTGCTGGGTAGCTGCACACAGACAACGCTTCTGCTTCCTGCCCGGCTGCGATGGAGTTCATCTCTGTTGTTGCTGTGGGCGTGGCCTGGCTTGGCTCCTGCTCCAAAATGGTGGAGTTTCATTGGAGGGGGGGCACCAGGGGGCTATTTATCTCTGTAAGGGGCCTCCGTGCTCCCTGCTTCCCATGGGGTTAGAGTGCCCAGAGATCCCTGGATTCCCTACCTCTGGACTAGGTGTCCCACCCTGCCCCTTTAAGACTTCCAAAAAGCACTCACCATAACAAAACAACAACAAACAAACAAAAAAAGGCTGCTCGCTTTTCTTTTGTTCTCTAGCACCGGCCTCCGTTTCCCGCTCACCAGTCTTGCTGCCCTGTTTTCCTAGCATACAGGACCCCACACATGCACTGTGTCTGTGATGTGGTCCGGATGGCTGGCGCTGTGTATTTAGCAGTCCTGGGCTCCCTCTCCCTCTCCACTCCTACTCCTCTCCTCCCACCAGGAGCTGGGGGAAGGGGCACTCGGGTCTCGCCTGTCTGGGGCTTTTATCTTACCCCCTTTGTGAGGAATTGGGTTCTCTCAGGTGTGGATGTGGTCTGGATGTTGTCCTGTGTCCTCTGGTCTTTATTCTAGGAAGAGTTATCTTTGTTATATTTTCATAGATATGTATGGTTTTGGGAGGAGATTTCCACTGTTCTACTCACGCCGCCATCTTGGCTCTGCCCCCCTTTGATCATTTTTTTAAAACAGTGAAAACACTTCAATAAGAATTTAGAAAAGTGTAACTCTATTTAGAGGGTTTTTTTCTGATTTAAAGGAATCAAAATAAGAATGGATACAATTATATTTGTATCCTCTGGAGGAAAATTCTATTCAAAGAAATGATAAAAATAAAATGCAGTAAAGTATAGTTAAGCAGTTAAGCTACCTGAAAGTCCAATGAGGAAATAAGGAATATACATATAATTTTTCCAGGATAATCAAGGTCCAATACTATGGAGAATATCTCATCTATTCTGGCCGTGGATTTGCCTTACCATTGGATTAAAGTCAAGAAAGTGAAAAAAAGAATAATCAAAATTGTCCTCTCCTTCCCTAAGTGCCATTAGTTTTAAAAAGCCCCATGTCAAATATTTATCATGAGTTGAAATTTGATTTCTACATCATCACTCCACTTCCTTTACTTTAAATTTTATTTTGCATCTACTGCACTAGACTTCCTTAAAATCATGAGACCACATATAACCTTTAAGTCAGATAATATGAAGAATGTGTATTTGAAATGTTTAAAATTCTCTGTCCATTTGACCTTACAGAATATTTATAAAAATCCCTGTAAAGCATATTTTACATTGCTGCTATCACAGACTGGCGACTGAACCTCTTGTTTCTTTCTCAGTTTTTAGTCCCATTTTGAAAGAGACAACAGATAAAATGTTTTTATTCTTATTTTAGTTTTAGCAAGATTGTGTTTTTAAGTTACAATCAATAAGTTGACAATATTTTGAAGTACAATCATCTCTTCCATTATTATATCAGCAATAATGGAACTCTGAAGTAATTTTTAAAATTATTTGGCAATGTGGCAAATATGCAAGTTAGCAGAAGGCAAGGCTGCATTTCTGACATATCAAGGGTTAACTCTTGTACAATCACATCTGGCTAGGAGAAATGGGGCCAATGTTAGACACCTTTGCATTTGAATTCATTCACTTCATAACAGCTAGTGTACCCTTTCAGAAGCAGGACTTCCATCTATAGAATTACAGTTGTCATCACAGTCCAAATTCTTGTCAAGTTCCGATTTTAAATTCTTCCCGCTCAGACCAATAACTGCTGCTTTCTGACAGTTTCATTACTCTTTGACAACTTAGCTCTCTGTCACTTCATCAGAATGTTCTCTTGCAAGCTGAAGAGACAGAAAAAAGATTCTGCTTTTAACTCAGTTCTAAAACTATCTCTGCCTCTACTGGGACTCACAGGAGTGTTGTCAGAGAGTTCTTGTTATTCTCCAGCACAAATCAATTTAGTGCATACCCAAGATCTTATTATACTACCTCCTGAAGAACTTGGTCCCATTTTATTTAGCAAAATAATTTTCCTATGTTAATGCATACTTCAAGATTGTAAATAAGCATGCAAAATGTACTTCTGCTGTGTGCGCTCATTTATCGAGCAGGATTTTATTCTGTAGTTTTTTAGGGAACTGACATACAGTCAAACTAAAAAACCTTTCTCTCCTTTGACAGTTGGTAGGCAAACTTTTTGCTTTATTGCATAATTGCAGAAAGCAGACCAGTTTTCTTTGAGCTAATTTGCCAAAAGCCAATTATTGCAGTGGCTGAATTATCAGAAAGACAATTTTCTGAATGAACTCTTCCTAGTAGTTTTTCCTCCAGATGAAAGCTTCCTGTCTCTCTTCAACCTCCTACTAGATTTAGCCATACGGACGTGGTGGAGAAACAAATTGACAAAAATCTTTAAAAGTTACTTCTGGTTAAAATGAAAGTTAGACAACTAAAATGCTACAGAAATCTCAAAAGCTGTTAACCATACAATTGAATTTGAATTGCAGTAAATTATATAAATAACTGAAAATCAAGCACATTTAGCTAATTTGTCCCTTGGAAAAACTGTCCGATCAGTGAAATTTGAATTAATTTTTTTGAATGAATTTGGCAAATAAAAGCAGATAGAGCCTGAACTGCAAGAAATAATGAGAGGAGGCATTGGAGAAGGGAGAATGTAGCAGGTTGGCAATGGGGTGAAACGGGAAGTTTCAGGAATAGTGAAAGTAGAGACAAAGTTAAATTAGGTGGCACTTCAACATAATGTATAACCTCAGTTTCCCTGATACAATGACAACAAATTCTTCTTGGCCTCTGGAAAGGTTACCTCTAAGATGAGATGGAATCAGACAAAAACACTGAGTTCTTCTGAGCTGTGAAGCAGTAAACCCAAAAATTGATTGCATGGCTTAATTCCTTTATTCGGATCTCTGAGCCTGTTCTTAACCACTCTTGATTCTATGTTCATTTCCCATTCCTACTTTCAAACCTGACTTTTATCCTACTGTCATATGTTATCTAAAGCATTGGTACATTAATCAGCAATGGGATTTACACAGCTTTTACCCACCTGTTGCTTTGGTTTCACCTAAGTCACCAGGGCTTCCCAACCTGAATTCACTCTTCCCATGCTTTCAGTTTTTGACACCTGGGAGCAAGTGGCTATTATTTATGTGCCATAGTTCAAAATTAGTAATCCATAATATAAAATAGAACACAGCTATAAAAGAGTAAATACTATGATGAACTAGAGGGGAGGAGGTGGCAATATAAATATACGTATGTACATATCAGAAATCTATTTCCTCACCTGAGCGTGTGACTGGTGCTTTGGTGGCTGTATCCATGAACTACAAAAGGAAGAAGGAGCCAAACAACAGGACGAGAACAGGAAAGGAAAACTGTAACAGGCAGTGTAACAAGACAGCCCTACAGAAAGGCTGAGGCTAAATATTTCATGGAACAAATTTTACTTTTTATGGCATTTTGAGGCTTGACTTATGATGTACCTCAATTTCATTCACTCTGTTATACCTCACTGCCTTAGCATATTTCTGGCACAGCCTAGGTTATTACTTTAGCTTCCTAATTGGCTGTTTCACAAGGACATTTCACACAAACTTAAATATATTTTCCTCTGTTTAAGATACTTCTGTGGCTTGCTATTGCTCAAATCATTAACATTCAGACTTTTAGCTGAATATAGACAGATATTTTCATAAGTGGCATCTAGCTATTTTCTTCCCTTAGCTCTGCCATTATCCCCCAAACATATTACTTCTTTCCAGCTATTAAAAAATTCACTTCCCCAATTACATAATGCTCTCCTTCTTTGCTTTTACACAACAGTCTTTCAAGTGTCTGATCCTTACTGCCTTTTCTTTTTTGCCCGATTATCTTTAACACATAGCTCAAAAGTTACCCTACTGCTGGGATCCTTTTCAATCTTCCTAGATGGTGAAAACATGTTCCTTTATTGGAAATCACAAAGCACATTTTTTAAACTTTCACTTGAAACACATCC